ATGTTTGTTTATGTATTAATCTTTCTAGGTTTTCAGATAAACAATTGGGTTTGATTAGTGTGCCATTTTATATCAGGAGAATTTTAAGCTCTGTTTTTGCCATTGATAGAATTGAAGGAAAAAGAAATGGAAATGGAATTTGGGGTTTTAAGGTTTTTGGGTTTTGGTTCAAACATGAAAAGTTCAATTCAATGTACTATTTAATAGGGAAAAGTAATAATAGCGGGATAGAAAATTAGCTTGTTATGTTGTTTTGTTACATTTTTTGACTAACCAGTAGAGCATTAGGATTTTCTTTTGTTTCTGTCAGAAGTATATAGTTCTCTTAAGTGGAGTTGCTGCATTGTCTTGGACAATTGAGAATTATGTAATTTGTATTTGTGGTGTTACTTTTCGTCAATTGTTGGTTTGTTGGGTGACATAAGAGCATCTCTAATACTTACTCTTTTTTCATCAAATTTGAGTGAAAATTTGGTTAAAAGCTTGATTTGATATGCAACATTCCAATCCTTACTAAAAAAAATCATCAAATATTAAAATTTGTAACTTATCCTAAAATTTAGTGGTAGAATTGGGTTTGAGGGTGTAGTAGATGGGAGTAGGGGTGAGGAAATGGGTTGGGCTAGTGTTTTCATTGTGTTGTTGGGAGAATCAAGAGGAGTGGTTGGTGACTAGGTTGATTTTGTTAGGTTAAGGTATTAGTTTAAATTATGGGATAATTAGTTAAAAGAAATTTTGGCATGTCAATTTAAAAATTGATGACCTTAACAAATTCCAACATGTTTTCTAAAGGCAGACTAACGACAGGGACGAAGTGTTATGTGACTATAAAACATAAGGAAGGTTGGTCTAATTATCCCAAACCTTGGGGGCTGGCTGTAATTTGACCAAACATCAGGGGAGATCAGTGTAATATACCCTATTATTTTTATACAACTACCAAAAAATGGTTAATGTCACTAATTGTAGAGTGACTGCTTACTTACCCCATTGTCCTTACTAACAAATTGGTACTACTTGAATGTTGCTCCTTATTTCCTCCAACATTAAACTATTATCGGCTAAAATTGTCCAAATCACAAAGAAAATGCTATTTTGTTTCATATCCGACCAATTTTGTTTCATTATTGTCTGCCAACCATGCTATGAACATTATGCATTCATTTTTTATTCTATTCTTGGCAGTTTGATGTATTTTACTCTTATTATCTTGGCAGTTCCACTTATTTTGTGTAGTTTGGTTGAGACCTGACATGCTGTATGAAACCATTGGTCGCATGCTGCAAGTTCTTGATGGACAGAGTTTGAGATCTTCTTCGACACGTACAGAGCATCAAGTCTACTATCGTAAACGTCGTAGGATGGACCGTACATGAGGATTGAGATCTACTTTTTGTTTGATGACATAATTTTGCATAATGTCTAGCCCGTATACATTTTGAGATATAGTTTTGTGTTAACCGTACATGATATATGGGATGTAATTTTTTTTTTTTGATGGCATAATTTTTGTGAAATCGTAGCCCGTACAGAATTTGGGATCTAGTTTTTTTTTGATGACATAGTTTTTGTGAATGCCTAGGCCGTACAGAATTTGGGATATACTTTTCCCTAATGGCATAGTTTTTGTGGATGCCTTGGATTTTTGTAAACTGGATGCTTCGTTGGACAAGTAATGAATTGTCATACTTTTGTAAGAATTTTAAACAGTTTCACATTTATTTTGTATTCAATATTTATGTGAATGGAAATTTATTTTGGCAAACATATGGATTTGTTATTGTTTGTAATGCATTGTAATGGTATTAAAGTCTTTTGGAAGGATATGGTACCATTTGCTGGAAGTAAAATTGTAATGGTATTAAAGTGTTTTTTTCAGTGCAATGGGCCAGTTCAGCTTCATACTGCTAAACAATTTTCCGGTGTTCGGTTGTCGAAAACAATAGAGCCCTCCAGCATTTAATTGCTATATATTCCCAGAGCCACTTTATCCTAAACAATGTCTTTTTTATTTGTGCTGGGCCCGTTCGGTAATACAATGCTAAACAATTTGAACTACTCTAGTTTCATGTTACCGGATAATATTTTGTTTCCCAGCATTATGTTACCATACAATTGGATAATTTTTGTTCGCTTCCCAAGAAAGCCAGTAGAGCCCACATAGAAGTGCCTGTTTGGTCACACAATGCGAAACAATTTACAAAAATTCGATTTTATAACGCCGGAATAAATGGTTTTGTCCAGCCTTTTGTGGCTATACAATTACAGAGCCATTTCCTCCCAAATGATGTGGTAATAATTTGCACTGGGGCTGTTCGGTAATAAAATGCTAGTGAATTTTAATTAATCCAGTGTTGTGTTACCAGACAAATGAGTTTTTACCAGCATTATGTTGCCATACAATTGGAAAATTTGTATTTTATTCGGCAATTTGATACTAGACTTATATTTTTTTTTCAGCACTCTGACGCCGGACTATGTTATTTTGTTCAATTTCGAAACACCGAACAAAAATCACACACCAACCCAGAAAATCAAAACAGAAACCCAGAAAATCGAAACAAAAACCTACCAAACTAAAAAAAAAACTCATCATTTTACTTTTTTGATGGTTTTTCACCACCGTTTTTTCATCCATTGCTTTTTTTGATAATCAATACACTATGATTATCAGTTTTTCAAAAGAGATGTGTAAGATAAAAGAAAAGTTCATAAAGGAAAACGATAAGTAGGAATTGAAAGGTCAGGGGTGTAAGGAGATAATCAAGTGCATTTAATTTTAGTGTTTTGTCCTTTTAAGTAATTTCACAGATGGATAAAATTGGAAGAAAAAAAAAGAGTGCTGCTATTAGCACCTGCCGAAATTCTTTGGACCCCCTATTTTATAATTTTGTTTTATTACAATTATACCCTGAAGTAAAATTACATTAAATGACATTATTAAATGAAACACCCACCTATCAATAAGAATTAATACTCTATAATATTGGACACCCACCTCTAACTCCAACTATACGTATTCCATGTTTGTAAACCCTAAACCTATTACTTTTCATAACCAACTAACATAAACCCTAAATCTATTATTTTTCATAATCATCTTAAATCCTGAATGTGTTATCTTCATCACCATCATCAACGCTATTAGACTTGAAAGTTTTGCTTCACTTATGTCACTTTGTACAGCAATGGAGGAGGAGGACAACAATTCTAGTGAGACCGACGTTCCATTGGTAAGTTTATCTATCTTGTATTAACATTGTCGGTCGTTTTCGGTCGTTCTTGTTTCGTTTGAGCTGTTCGGTACTGATTGATGACTGTTAGAATTATGTTCGGTAATACAGTACTGAACATAATCCTTTCGTTCAATATATAGGTTCCGAACATTGATGCAGATAGTCAATACTATTCAACCGAATATCATCTTCATTTTCGTCACTGTTGAACTGAACAAAACCATTAGTTTCGAGACTGTTAAAATGAACATCATTTTCTCAATTTTGAAATTACATTCACACGTGTTTTGAGGGTGATGCTTCGACTAGAGGCAGTAAGGTTGATTCAGAACTTGTAATGGATTATAGTAATGAATTTGTTACTCATGAGGTGAGTCTTTGATTGTTTTACAAGTAATGTACCTCTCTTATGTGCAATAATCGGTTAGTTTAATTTATTTATTTATTTCAGATTTTCAAGAGTCGAGATGAGTTAATTCGATGGGCACATCAAGTTGGAAGAAAAAATGGATTCGTTATTGTCGTGTAGAAATCAGATGGGGGTGGTATTCGAGGTAAGAAGCCAAGACTTAGCTTAGCTTGTGAGAGGAGTGGATCTTATAGGGACACTCGAAAAAATAGCAGGCCTAAGACAAAAAAAGCAAGACTGACTAGTACAAAAAAATGTGAATGTCCTTTTTTATTAAAGGGCAAAAAATTAGCCACAAATGATGATTGGATCTTGATAGTTGTTTGTGGTGTGCATAATCATTCTGCTACAGAATATCTTGAGGGTCATTCTCATGCTGGAAGGTTGTCACATGAGGAAACCTCTTTGTTGGTAAACATGTCGACGAGTATGGTACGACCGAGTGAGATATTGGTTACATTGAAACAACGCGATGATGCAAATGCTTCCATAATGAAGACAATTTACAATGCACGTCATAGGTATAAAGTTGTTGAGAAAGCTGGGAGATCTCAAATGCAACAACTATTAGGTCAGTTAGCGATGAACAAGTACATTGAGTGGCATAGGAGCTGTGCAGATACTAAGACAGTGACTGATTTGTTCTTTGCACATCCTACTAGTTTGAATTTGTTACGTGCATTTCCAAAAGTATTGTTGATGGATTGTACTTATAAGACCAATCGATATCGGTTGCCCCTTCTGGAGATTGTAGGTGTGATATCGACAGACATGACCTTTTCAGTTGCATTTGCATACCTTCAGTATGAGAAGGAGGATAACTATACATGGGCACTTGGTCTTTTGCATAGTGTCATGGATGAAAATACTCTTCCTTCTGTTATTGTCACAGATAGAGAATTGGCCCTTATGAATGCCATATGTACGGTGTTTCCTGCAACTACAAATTTGTTGTGTAGATGCATATTGGAAAAAATGTGCTTGCTAATTGCAAAACGATGTTTGAGACCAAGGATAAATGGGAAATGTTTATAATGAGTTGGAATATGTTGGTTATGTCATCGTCTGAAGAAGTATACATGCAACAACTGTCTTTGTTATATAGTGAGTTCAGTACTTATCAAGATGCACTTCATTATGTTACCTCATCTTGGTTGGATACATACAAGTCAAACTTTGTGGCTACTTGGACTGACACATTTATGCACTTTGGAAATTCTACAACAAATAGGTAAATACGAACATTTAAATTTACTAGTTGTTTGGTTTTTTATAACATTATTTTTATAACAGTTTATTTTCATATATAGGGTTGAGAGTTCACATGCAAAACTTAAAAGATATCTTGGATCAAGTCAAGGAAATTTTGAGTCGAATTGACATACGAATTGAAGTTCACGATAATCAGCTGATGTCTCCGTGCGTGGATTATACTTAGAACGATGTGTCGGGTTTTGAACTTGCACATGTGAAATGGAAGTAAACCAGTCCAAGTAACCTGGCACACAATCCCATGGATGCAAGACTAGAACACTACGACCTATCTCAGACAACAAGTGATTTTCCCAACTCTCCCAAATCGTATCCAAGTATTTATAGGCGATGATGTACTGTTTTGCAGTGGATCCTCTAGAGGCTCGAACTGGAGCAAGCGGAGGTGAGGGAATAATTTGCACCCTACCAAACTGTCTCAGTACCCTATCTGGATGGTATGGTTCAACAATGTGCATACATTTTAAGCATCCACTATAGTAAGCAACATCAAAAAACAGATGCTTAATATGGTTATCATGGTATGGATCCCAAATAACCTACAATAGTAAAAATTTTATATGTAAGTTATGAATTAGATTGAATAATAAAAAGTAATATGTACATACATTGACATAAGATTGACACTTACGTCATAGGCCTCTAATCTATCGAGGTCCTCTCGCAACCTTTGTAAAATAGACGTTACGTCATGGGCCTCTAATCTGTCGAGGTCCTCTCGTAACCTTTGTAAAATAGACGTTGACGAACCAGATTGGGTGCGAGAAATCCAACGAAAGACACGAGGCTGATCTTCTTTATAGTCCAAATTGGGATGGGGTCTAGCACCAACAAAATGCTCGTAAATCCAAGCTTCCAACAATGTCATGTATCCCGCCATCTGTTTTACGACATACCTTGTGGCAGTACCCAATTGCCGGTATAAAAAAGCCAATGCAGCTGCACCCCAAGCATAAGAAGCAACCGACCGCAAATCCATAAGAAAAGACAAATACACTACCGGAACACGTGTGCCTGTCTTGTCTGCAAATAAGGTACAACCTAACAAATATAACAAATATGCCCTAGCTGCACACTCAATGGTATTATCATTGTCCGCATCAGACACTGACCCAAACCGATGTCTCAACCATTCTACCTTGATAGACTGGCACCATGCTACCTTCAACGCTACATTCGCCTCATCTATTGTTACTCCGAAAGCCTCAACTAGTAGATTTGCAGCGTCAACATTTGATAACTTCTTGCAAGAGACTGATTTACCAATCACTGGAATCCCTAGAATTACACTAACATCATCTAAGGTTGGTGACATCTCACTAAATGGTAGATGAAACGTGTTTGTCTCTGGCTGCCATCTTTCTACAAAGGCCGAAACTACAACTTTGTTTACAAATTTGTAGGCGCAACTCACTAAAGAAATCAACCCCGAATCCTTAATTAAACCATGAAATTTGGACTGTTCATTATCTTCCAAGTTGAATGACCATTCTCCAACTTTAAAACCATGATTTAAGCATTTAAGTATTCCACGTTCCTGCAACATAAAATAAAAACAAGAAAAAAAGAACAAAAAAAAGAATTAGTAAAGTTGAAACAAAATTTGAAACATTAAATTAATGTAAGACAATGACTTACATCATTATGCCAAATTTTGGCTGCTATGTGACAATGAAACTCTTCAAAATTGAAGGATCATATGGCCCTCCAGGAAAAGGTCCAGTAAGATCTTCATTAACTTTTTCAATTGTATCTGCTAGTTGGTCTTCATAGTCACCCATGTCTGTTGGTTCATCACCTGGATCATCACCCATGTCTGTTGGTTCATCACCCATATCTATTGGTTCATCCCCCAAATCATCACCTATGTCACTCACATTAAATTGATTGCCCCCATCGTTTTCAACCTCAATCGTTTTTGCTAGAGCAGCACCTATGTCATTCATGTCATGTTCATTAACTCCACTACCTTGATCCTTAGTCTTACGAGTGCGTCGAGGTCTCTTAGCCACTTTTTGAGAAAGTATAACATTACGTCTCCTAGACGCTGTTGGGTGATCTCGAGCAATTTCCACCATAGCTGTCCACCGAGTACAATTAGATATAATGCATTAGAAGCATGCCAAGAGCAAGGCCATCAAAAAAAAAAAAACCTAAATAAAATTATAGACAAAAACAAAGCTTTCCCAAAAAAGTGCAAAAATTTGAAAGCCTAAACAATTAGGAATTTGGTATTAAAAATAAAAGGCTTATTGATTATGACCTATTATTCCATCTTGAGGGATACTGCCACTGTACATACTGGTTAGGGGCTTGGAGGGTTGCATATTTCTCCTGTGTGCTGAATATGGTAAGCAACAAAATTTATGATGTTCACTAACTGGTTGTTATGCAGATTGTTAAGCTGGCTGTACTGTAGGGATGGTGAGTTGAGTGACAGTGATCAAAGACCTAGGCATGAGAGGACAGGGTGTGAAGGGTTGAGTGACCTAAGGCACTATATCATTTCTAACTTTATCTTGCTGCAGGTTCTGAAAGCTGGTACAAATATTAGGGAGTTATTTGTTAAGGGCCTAGTGAAGAGAGGATACATTTTTGGAATCAAGTCTTTTATTACTTCTTATATTATTTTTCCTGTCTCTTTGCTGAGTGAAATGGCTTTAATGAGGGTTGAGTATGTTAGCTCAGGAAATAGGGAGATTTGTTGCAAGTTTTCTTATTGTTGTGGGTTGAGTGACTTAGCCTACAAAATGTGTGTGTGTGTGCATGTGTGTGGGTGTGTGTGTTGAAATGGGGTGGTTCAAGTGTAGGTCAACTGGACAATTCTGGGAGCAGCTTTGGGCTGTTTATTTCCTACTTGATTGCGTGTTATGCTGTTTCTTTGTGGGAAGAACTTCACCCTGATGAAGGATATGGAGGTGAATATGTTAAGTGTGAGATGCATTATTTGGTCTATAGCTTGGACTTGCTTGGGCTTTACTGCTAAATGCAGGTATGTTATGCAGATAGAATAGATAGATGGCTTAATTAATACCCTTAACTAGCTTACTTAAATTAGCTCACAAAATTCAAATTTAAATAAGAATCAAATTTAATAGATAGATGACTTAATTAATAACTATAATAACTAACAACAAAGTAAGAATCAAATTTAAATAAGAATCAAATTTAATAGATAGATGACTTAATTAATATCCTTAACTAGCTTACTTAAATTAGCTCACACAATTCAAATTTAAATAAGAATCAAATTTAAATTAATACCTCCATTCTACAAAGTATCTCAACCTTGCACAAGTTCTCAAGTTCTAACTGACAAAAAATTTAATACCATCCCTCTAAACATACATGGACAAAAAAAATGTGACTATAAACTTGAAGTTTAGGGATTTGCTTTAGCATTATTTTTTGATTTTTGATTTATTGGGTTTTATTAGGATTTATTGTATTTTTTTTTTTTGGCAACTATTACTGAGGTTTCCTAGGATGATATGTAATAGGTTTTGCAAACTTGGCTTAGATATTGATTAGTTGAGTTTTTTGATTTGGGATTGGTTCACTGTTTCCTCCTTCCCTCTACTTTCTTTCTTTATTCACTTATCTTCTTGTCTATACTTTGTTCTTCTTCTTTACTGTCATTCCTTCTGTGCTACATCATTAATTCTTTTAAAGGGAAGCTATATACTATTATTTTAGAGTTCGAAGGTGGACAAGTTTATTTTAATATGTTCCACCATCCATGATACAAATTAGCATTAGGATGGTAGTGATTCTGTCTGACTTAAATAATATGATCTCCACTTGGTGGGTTCATGATATCATTGTCCCGCCATAATTTTTTTGTCAATAACAAAAAAAATTCATTAATAAAAAAGTAAGAACATGGAATACAAAAATAACGATAAAAAGGAAACCATAAGGACAAGAAGTCCCCAGCAAAGAAAAAACAAAAGAAAAATATCGTGATCTTCGAAAAACCTTCCAATCTCTAGAAATAAAAAAATAAGGGAATCTCCTTTAAAGGAAGGAGATATTGAAACCCAAATGAAGCCATATAGTGAATCTTCTCCCATAATCCCTCCAAATCATCACTTTTCTGTTCAAAGATTCTATCATCCCCTGTTAACCATATGACCCACAAAACTGAACACACAACACAATTAGGGTTTTGTGTGGTTGTGGTTTTGGTTGGTAAATGGTTTTTTTGTTTGTGTGGTGATGATTAATTGAAGAGAAAAGATAAATAAATTATACCTTTGATGGTAGATGAAAAATTTTATAGCAGTAAATCATACCTTTGATGGTAGATGGAAAATTTTACAGCAGTAAAATGTTGAATTTCCGAAATGGGGGGTCCAAAGCACACTTTGGGAATGGAATCAAGCAACACTTTCGGAATGTCCCAAGCACTTTCGGAATGGAATCAAGCAGCAAAATGGATTTGTGGAGAAGATGAACACAGTGGTAGACCGACAGTCAGGAAGGAGAGGTATGAAAATTAGGTGGGTGTACATTTGATTGTAAAAATATTATAAATAGGGGTAGATTTGGTAATAAGTGGGGTGTCTAAAAAAATATTATTAAAATTTAGGATTTAAGGTTGGGGACCAGAGAAATGGGGGGTCCAAAGAATTTTGGTAGGTACTAATAGCAACACTCAAAAAAAAAATCTTATATGGAGGGTGTAAGGAGCTAAAAGAGTGGTGTAAGTAGAATCACCCTTAATGGTTAAATGTTGTGTACTAAGAAAATTTGTGGTGTGTAAATAAAATCTCCCATTTTTATTATAATTTGACCATAAAACAAAATGACCATAGCGACATCGATATACACACTAAATATTAAAACTAAGTTTTCTCTATACACATCTTTTGCTAAAAATAAAAAAAAGAAATTCTCAATACACATCTTTTGGAAAAATAAAAAATTAAAACCTATATTGTTCCTCCATTATTTCTCGCTTCTTCCATTACTATATTTTATTGTCCTCTGTTACAACTAATGATGAAAATGTGAGTTTTATGTGCAAAAGTGGAATTTTTTTTTTCCTGATCGCGATTTTCATTTGGGAAACTAGTGCCAAAACTTTTGATTATGTTTGAAAATCAACCACCGAGATAATTTCATGATTTCAGAAATTAACTTCCAAAAAATATAAATTAATTTAGTTTTCAACTGACGAAATTTATTCGACAATACAAAATTGATAAAATACAAAATTTTCAAAGGTACGAAACCGAGTAAACCTATTTGATTTGGACAACCAATACCAAATAGATTATTTTCGTCTCATCACCAACCAACATCGAACTAAAATTCAAAAATTATTTTAAAAAATAGAAAATCAAATTTATTTAGGGTTTGTTTGGGATATGGGTTGGCTTTTTGGCTATTATAGTCTGGGTTTAAAAAGTTTTGTTTGGGATAAACTTTTTAGTTTTCTGACTTTTGTGAGAGAAAAAATGTAATAATTATGGATTGGATGTGATGTTTTATCTTATTGGACTAAAAAACCTATTTTGTTTTTTTCTAGTTATTTTAGCTAAAAAGACTGGGGCTTTTTTTCTTTTTTTCCAAACGAGCTCTTAGCCGAACACGCTAGTAGGACCATGGAAACCAAACACATAGAATTCACTTTAGGGGTTTGAAGATGTAGTGTATGAAAAAATCTATTTGGGTGTGTACATATTATGAGTTAGGATTATAGTATGAAGATTTGGTGTGTAAAATGACAATAATAATATATAATCAAATTTATAAATATGTAAACTAAGATATGATGTGCACAGAGGTTAAAGCACGCGTGAAAATATGATTTTAACATTAGGCCATGTATATAAACCACCTGATCTGCATTGGCAAGTAAGAAAATATACTATCACAAATGGCTATAGACAATATTAAGGTGATATTTGAATTATAAATTTAAATAAAGATTTAAAAAAGAACATATAAAATGTAGATAAAATATAATTATGTTTTATTTTTTAAAATTTTTATTCAAATTCATAATCTAAATACAACACAAAAAAATTTCAGGCTATGTTTAACAATATGTTAAATTAGCTAAAAAATTAAAGTCACTAAAAAAAAACATACATCATAAAAAAAGTCGAAAAAATATTTTTATTTTCTCTATTTTTTTACAAATTTTTTCTTTTAAAAAAGAACATATAAAATGTAGATAAAATATAATTATGTTTTATTTTTTAAAATTTTTATTCAAATTCATAATCTAAATACAACACAAAAAAATTTCAGGCTATGTTTAACAATATGTTAAATTAGCTAAAAAATTAAAGTCACTAAAAGAAAACATACATCATAAAAAAAGTTGAAAAAATATTTTTATTTTCTCTATTTTTTTACAAATTTTTTCTCATAAGACAAAAAATCATTCTTAAATATTTTAAATTTTCTCATTTCATATTTTAGTTAAAAAAAAAACCCCACTTCCCAAAATTTCAAAATGGGAATTTTGTTGCTATTCTCTGCAAATCAAGAAAAAAGGGAAAAGAGTATGTCGACCTGCGGAAACTGAAACACATGAAAATTGAACCGTTATACAAATAAATGACACACCATTACTACTAGCCACATTAATTAATCAATGAGAAATGTCCCAATACTTTCAGAGTCTGATCCCCAGGAACAACCCAATCCTACTTCCATATACAAACAACCACAATCCAAAGCCATTCAACACAATCCAAACTTTTCAATCTCACTCTCTCTCCTTTTCTCTCTTCCTACCCAAACTTCCCAACAATGCTAGAACCCGACTCCACTCACTTCATCATCATCATCATCCACACAGGTCTTTCCACAGTCGTCGTCCCAAAACAACCCACTTCATTCTCGAAACACTCATTCTATGTATATTCTCTCTCACCCTTCTCTCTCTTCGTCTCGCCTCCACTGTGTTGTTGCCCGATTTTCCTCGCCGGTGGCATCAACTCATAGCGTTTTCCGAAGACGCCGAATCCAAGTTTATTAGCCATTATTACCCTTCGCATTTATGGCAAGCTCTTGTTGCCTACGAAGACCGCCGCTTCTTTCAGCATTTTGGGATCGACCCAGTCGGCATTGCTCGGGCTGTGTTCTCTTTTTCTGCTCGTGGAGGCGGTAGCACTATAACCCAACAGGTATTTTTGTGTTCCTGCACACCATGTGTTTGATGATTTAAGTCAGTGAAGTTGGTTTATTCAAAGCATAGTAGGGGACTGCTTTACATCCTTTCTTTTCTTCTCTATCTTTCTGTTGTTTAACCAGGAGGGTAAATAAATAGTTTTAACAAGGGTTAATTTTACTTGGGTTGTTTGAGATGTGCTATATAATTTGATTTTTTGGTCAAAAAAGTAGAGGAAAAAAAGATGTAGGTGTGGGATAATATTTTGATTTTTTATGAAAAAATATATAATAAAATATTGTAACAAATAGAAAAATTACGTAATTACCCTTCCTGACATATGAAGGAGGAAGAGTGGGGTTTCCGTGCATTTCATTATTTTTTTTATGGGAATTCGTGGCGAAGAACCACCACGTAAACTGCATTTGACATTTTGCAATGCAGCACTGGTTTTTTTTTTTTTGTGTTTTTTTTACCCCACCACGCTGCACTGTTGGGTAGATAGTTTTGGATTTTGTTGTTGAATTCAACAAGAGCATAATTGTGGCAGCAGAATTGTACTACAATTTGAAAAGAAAAAAAATAAAAAATCAAAACAAACAAAAATATAAAAGAGCTGCAATTTTTTTTAAAAAATGACTGCTGTGCTATTGTTGGTAAACAAATGTGCATTTTTTTGGGTTCCACTATGGTAATAATTATTTTTTTTTTAATAAATAATGGTAATTTAGCCCCTGCATATATCCCTTACAATTTCATCAATGTTTTCAACAAGTAATATTTTTTTGGTCAATATTTTTTCTTTTGTCATTCTTTTTTTCATATTTGCCAGAAGATGAGACTTCACCCACAAAGGCATTAGCATACCTGTCAAGTGAAATATACACATACTTCCTTCATGTCATTTTGGTAATACGTGTCACAATAATATGATAAGTTTATAAATTATTTCAATAACGTTACTAATGACAGTGAAAAAAAATTGCCAAAATTACAACATAAAAGTTAAAATTTTAATTTCAAAAGTCGTTTTTTAATTCTTTTTAATAAATCTTAATCTTTTAAAAATACAATTACAATGTCAAAAAACTCACGTGTTTACCAATGTATCATAATATCTAATTTATTTGAAATACACATGCGGAATAGTCAATTCTATTAAATAAATTAATAAACCCGGATTTTACATTACAAAAGGTAAGACGAGCAATTTTCACACAATCACTTCTTACAAATATAAATACAATTAAACATATACTTTTTCTGTTAAAATACTTTATACTCACTTGTGCGTATTTATGTTCATTTTTTAATTTGTTATAATTTGAATTCTCAATTAAACATATTGGAATAAAAATTATAAAAAATAACAACACTTTTTGAAATGAAAAATTATGAACCGTACTTCATAATTAGAATTCCAAATATTATACAACATACATCGAAGATAACACCTACCACACCAACAAATGCTTCGCCCCTATACGTGTGCTTGTTGTCCCAATGCATATGTAATATTCGCTCTTACAACAGCCATTTCCGGGTCTGAGTCTCTTGGCTCCATCATATCGGCAACCCGTGTGTATTCGTGGTGGTCAAGGCATTTGCAGCACCACGTAATTGTTGTCGTCTGGGATATTTAACGTGACCTCATCAGTTTCACTGTTCCTGAGTATGAAGTTGTGTAACGCCATCGACGCACATACAAAGGGCACCTGATCAGAAAAATGCAACTTCGGCGTATTCCACAAAGCCCCTTACCTCGACTTCCAAGCACTGAATGTCCGCTCGATACAACTACACAATGACGAATGTGCCTTGTTGAACCGTTCGAAGTCGTTCTGTGGTATTAGATTCCGATGCGCATTTTGGTGATATCTATACCCCAAGTACGGGGTTAGATAGCCTGTCTTGTTGCTATAGCCGCTATCAACCAAATAGTATTTTCCTGCAAAGATGAAAATAGTATTTTCTTAACAGCAATACGTCGTATACGTATAAATCAACTCATTCAACAACCCATATTTGTATCATTTACCAATGACTCCATGAAATTTTGTTTGCAATACAAGTTATGTCGTTTACTTTTACAAATTATGTCCCTTACACTTTCAAATTTCATCAAAAAGTCGCCCCTGTTATTAATAAATTGAATATTCAATTACTATTTTGTCATAATATCATAATTTTTTTTTCAATCACCAAGTGGTCCAAGTAATTTCATCACTGTCTTATGATTTTCTAATTCGTCGGCTAATAAAGATAAATAAACAATTACGACAAGAGGGAATTTGTTACCAAGCGCAGGGTGAGGGAATCGATGTTTAGGCTCGGTTGTCACATAGTGCAACACCCTGCTGTCGTGCATGCTCCTGTCCTAACCGGCAGATATGAACGTGAAGCAAAAATTAAAGTCACAGACGACTATTATATTCTGCGTTGGCACGCCTTTCCGGCCATAGTAAGAAGTGGCATACTCTTAGGAGACACAGGGGCCATCACGTGCGTGCCATCCAGTGCACCGATGCAGTCTTACGCAACGCAAGTATTTCACAAAATGTAAATTAAAAATTCATGATTTGATTCATAAGTTTAGTCATCTAAATTTTTGCAAGGCGTCACCTTGAATGGTCGGTACTGCCGCTGCAACCATCAATTTGGATCGCCCCCTTGTTGGACTTGCTTCGGCGCAAGACTCCTACTATGAATCGATGCAAACGGTATCATAGCATGTAGAACCTCATCGTGACAATGTCTCTGTTGAGTGTTGGAATCGTTCTTGCAAGACATTCCTTGTAAAATTGCCACGGCATTTCCACAAGGTTCTACAAGCTATGATACCATTTACATCGATTCATAGTAGGAGTCTTGCGCTGGAGCAAGCCCAACAAGGGGGTGATCCACATTTACGGTCGTAGCGGCAGTACCGGCCATTCAAGGTGACACCTTGCAAAAATTTCGGTGACTAAACTTACGAATCAAATCAGGAGTTTTTGATTTACATTTTGTGAAATGCTTGCGTTGCGTAGGATTGCATCGGTGCACTGGACGACACGTACGTCCGTGTCTCCCAAGAGTACGCCACTTCTTACTATGGCCAGAAAGGCGTGCCAATGCAGAATTTATTGTTGTTTATGACTTTAATTTGTACTTCACGTTCGTGTCCGCCGGTTGGGACAGGAGCATGCACGACAGCAGGGTGTTGCACTATATGACAACCGAGCCTAAACATCGATTCCCTCACCCGCGCCTGGTAACAAATTCCCTCTTGTTAGAATTGTTTATTTATCTTTATTAGCCAACAAATTAGAAAATCATAATTGGTCTCATAGACAATGATAAAATTACTTGGACCACTTGGCGATTGGAAAACAATTATGATATTATGACAAGTAATTGAATATTCAATTTATTTGTAAGTGCAAGGGACATAATTTGTGAAAGTAAACAACACAACTCGTATTGTGAACAAAATTTCATGAAGTCATTGGTAAATGATACAAATTGTATATGGGTTGTTGAATGAGTTGATTTATATGTATACGTCGTATTGCTGTTAAGAAAGTACTATTTGGTTGATAAGCGGCTATAGCAACAAGACAGGCTATCTAGGCCCGTACAAGGGGTATAGATATCACATTGGAATCAAATACCACAAAAAACGACTTCGAACGGTTCAACAAGGCACATTCGTCATTGTGTAGTTGTATCAAGCGGACATTTGGTGCCTGGAAGTTGAGGTGGGAGGCTTTGCGGAATATGCTGAAGTTGCATTTTGCGTTGATGGCATTACACAACTCATACGCAGGAAGAGTGAAACTGATGAGGTCACGCTGAATATCCCAAATGACGATGATTACATGGCGCCGCAAATGCTCAACCAATGGGACTCAGACTCAGAAATGGAAATGGCCGTTGTAAGAGCGAATATTACATACACAAAAAGTGTTGTTATTTTTATCTAATTTTTATTCGAATACGTTTAATTGAGAATTCAGATTATAACGAATTAAAAAATGAACATAATACAAACAAGTGAAGATAAAGAATTTTAACAGAAAAAGTATATGTTTAATTGTATTTATATTTGTAAGAAGTAATTGTGTGAAAATTGTTCGTCTTACCTTTGTAACGTAAAATCCGGGTTTATTAATCTGTTTAATAGAATCGACTATTCCGCATGTGTATTTCAAATAAATTAGACCAATAATATTATGATACATTGGTAAACACGTGAGTTTTTTTAGCATTGTAATTGTATTTTTTTTAAATTAAGATTTATTAAAAAGAATTAAAAAACGACTTTTGAAATTAAAATTAAAATTTTTATGTTGTAATTTTGTAATGTTATTGAAATAATTTATAAACTTATCATATTATTGTGACACTTATTACCAAAATAATATGAAGGAAGTATGTGTATATTTCATGTGACAGGTACGCTTTGCGGCGTGAAGTCTCATCTTCTGGCAAATATGAAAAAGAGAAGGACAAAAAAAATATATTGACCTTGAAAACATTGATGAAATTGCGAGGGATATATGCAAGGATTAAATTACCATTATTTAAAAAAAAAAAAATTATTACCATAGTGGAACCCAAAAAAATGCATATTTGTTGACCAACAATAGCACATCAGCCTTTTTTAGAAAAAGGTTGAGACCCCCAATGTATTGGGATTGGCCAACCTTTTGCTTTTTGTTTTTTGTTTTTTTTTCCTCCTATCACTCACTGACATGTGTCTGTGGGGGGGGTCAAGGAAAAAGAGGGTCTCATTTCTTAAAATTGCAGCTCTTTTATATTTTTGTTTGTTTCGTTTTTTTTTTTTTTTTTTAACAAATTGTAATACCATATAATTGTGCTGCCATTCAACAACAAAATCCAAAACAATCTACCCAACAGTGCAGCACGGTGGGGTCAAAAAAAAAATATATATATATATAAAAAAAAAAACAGTGCAGCTCAAGCATTGCAAAATGCCAAATGCAGTTTATGTGGTGGTTCTTCGCCACAAATTCCAATCAAATTGGTATGGTTTAAGTTGTTCAAATTTTAAATGAACTTTTTTGCTCATTAAATCAAGTTTCAACGGTTATTGATTTGTAAAATTGTCTCTAATTTGATATCATCCAATCCTTAATCAAAGAGCTTTCATCAAAATTGTTGGGCTGGTGGTTCTCCCGAACAACCGGATTTTGGGATGAATTAGGTATTCTCTTCACAGGAGGACCAACAGGATGACTAGCCGAATTGATGAAAAATTTGATGAAGCGTTGGAGATGCTCATAGGGATTAATAAATAGATGAAATAGCTTAGGGATGAAACTAACAAAATGGTGATGGTTTAGGGGATAAAAGTGAAATAAACTCTTTTAACAAAAATGGGGTGATCAAGTTGGTAAATGGCCATATACATAGAGGAAAACAAAATTGTCATTTGCATAATAATATATTCTTCCTTAATCTAAGCTTTGATGCTCCAGACCAGACTGATTCATCTGTTGGAGGACCTAAACTGTATGAAGCTTTTTTACTGCTGTTTGTTTGTCTTGATGTGATGTTAATATAGTACTAATGTGGAAGCTTTCATTGTTGTTTTGAATTGTTTTTAGTGCTGTTTTGTCGTAACTAATCATTCTTGTCTACAATGGTTTCAATTCCATATGGCAGCTTGTCAAGAACACATTCATGAAAAATGAGCGCACATTCTTGAGGAAAATTGTTGAGATAGTGCTGGCTCTAGCATTAGAGAGGACACTATCAAAATTGAAAATCTTGGGCTCTTATTTGAGCAAGGTCATATCTATTACTTTATCACATATTGCTCTATTTCATATTACCCTTTTGAAGGAAGTTGATATCCATTTTATTTTCACATGTTGTATGATAAATTGTGGGAATTGCAACCTTGCAGTTAGATATGCATTCTTTAGTTTTTCACATGTATCAAGCTATGTCTAGCTCTAGCTTAAGTTGGCAATTTCTTGAAACTAGGGTATAGAGATATCAACTTAATAATAATATAAGAAAACTCAGACATACTCCAACAACATGATCTTGTTCCCAACTTAATGCCTCATCATTAAACATTATCATCAAATCTCTAACATTTGTATTCATTATACTCTAGAGATTAACAAAAGTATTCCACATGCAATTATACATTCAACAAATCGAATACAACTTAATGCCCTCATGCCCTCATGAATCTATAGCCATGTGCCCTCAAAATACACTCCGCGCCTTTAACTCGGCGGAATCACCACATCATTTCCTGCACAAAATCCACTAGGGTGATTTTAACAAAGTATATACATTTTATACAGTCTTCTGAGATGAATGCATATGTCATGTTGTGCTCAAAATATATTTCTTTATCTTTTGGAAATCTTGTGCACGATGCAAATTTGAAAACACAACAATTCAATAACTTCCATATAGTTCAGGGGTGGTAAATACGACTCAGGTAATTCCTAGATAGGTGTCTGCAAGTAGGCATATCAAGCACTACCAATCACCACTTTACCAGTTTCTTACCGGAATGAACGTGATACCAAACTGTTAGGTGTTAGGGGTAGTTAGGTCTTTATGTATTATTCTTATTAGTATATATAGTTGTGTGTAAGGGGGAAACCTTATGTTTTTGAATCAAATAATACAACCGCTGTTTCTCTCTCTCTCTCTGTGTTGAACTTCTTCTTCTCCTTCTTATCTATACATTCAACATGGTATCAAAGCAATATCTTCCTCATGAAGATTGCCTCTCCTTCGTCCCTCGTTCTTGTATCTGGTACGTTTCCAATAAAAAATAAAAAATAAAAAATTACTAAAATTAATGGGCATTCTTCCTATAATTTCCTTTTGATTTTTTGGTTATTATTGATTGTGTTTTCCAATTTTTTGTGATTTTTCGAAAATCACTGGTTGCACCCTTTTTTGATTGATTTTTTCCCTCCCTCTCACATCTTGGGGAGCCGACTGACCCTCTAGAGGAGTTTGTTGTCCCTGTTTTGCTGTATTTTGGCTCTACCTTAGCTTTTTCCTGAGTTTTGGATGATCTACTTCAGTGTTTGATCTGGTTGCTTTATTCTGGGATTATTTTGCACTATTTTAGCCTTAGAAGGTTCTTTGCGGTGCTGGTTAGGTGTTGTCAGGCCTTGTTTGATATCCTGCTTGTGTTTCTATACCATCTCTCTCTCTTATCTCATGGCTGAACGCGAGGGTCAGTACTCTAAGGGCAAGGAGGATAGTGGACTAAGTTGTGGTATGCTTGGTGATAGTCCTTCTCTCCAGATCCAGATTAGTCCGGTCAAGCTTAATGGCACCAATTACTTGATTTAGTCCCACTCCTGCAGTCTTGCCATTGTCGCCCGACGTTTGACTGGTTATATTACTGGTAGTACCAAGCCACCTACTGAGGAAAGTGCTTTAGTGATGACCTGGCTGTTCAATTCTATGGAACCCACCATTAGTAGGACTATTGCCTCTCCTTCTTCCCTCGTTCTTGTATCTGGTACGTCTCAAAAAAAGAAAAAAAAAAGAAAAAAAGAATTTTAGTATGCTCGAAAATTGATGGGCTTTCATCCTATAATCTCCTTTTTATTTTTTGGTTATTATTGATTGAGTTTTGCAATTTTTTTTGATTTTTCGTCAAAAATGGGTGATTTTTTGAAAGTCACTGGTTGCACATGAAGATTGCCTCTCCTTCTTCCCTCGTTCTTGTATCTGGTACGTTTCCAAAAAAAAAAAATGAAAAATAAAAACTTACTAAAATTAATGGGCATTCTTCCTATAATTTCCTTTTGATTTTTTGGTTATTATTGATTGTGTTTTCCAATTTTTTTGATTTTTCGTCAAAAATGGGTGATTTTTTGAAAGTCACTGGTTGCACCCTTTTTTGATTGATTTTTTCCCTCCCTCTCACACCCTTTCTTGGGGAGCCGACTGACCCTCTAGAGGAGTTTGCTGTTTTGCTGTATTTTGGCTCTACCATAGCTTTTTCCTGAGTTTTGGATGATCTACTTCAGTGTTTGATCTGGTTGCTTTATTCTGGGATTATTTTGCACTATTTCAGCCTTAGAAGGTTCTTTGCGTGCTGGTTAGGTGTTGTCAGGCCTTGTTTGATATCTTGTGTTTCTATACCATCTCTCTCTCTTATCTCCTGGCTGAACGCGAGGGTCAGTACTCTAAGGGCAAGAAGGATAGTGGACTAAGTTGTGGTATGCTTGGTGATAGTCCTTCTCTCCAGATCCAGATTAGTCCGGTCAAGCTTTTAATGGCACCAATTACTTGATTTAGTCCCACTCCTGCAGTCTTGCCATTGTCGCCCGGCGTTTGACTGGTTATATTACTAGTAGTACCAAGCCACCTACGGAGGACAGTGCTTTAGTGATGACCTGGCTGTTCAATTCCGCTCACAAGATCTGGATAGCTGCATCTCAGATGTATTCTCAACAGGGTAATGATGCCTGGAAGAGCTAGATTTCTACCAGAGTTTCCAGTCAGTTTACTCCACGGATGCCACTATGTTTCAGCAGGCTATGGAGAAGGAGCGGGTGTATGACTTTCTGCTGGTTTGAATTTGAAGTACGATCAAATACGAGTTCAGGTGTTGGGTCGCTCTCTGTTTCCCACCTTGCGTGAGGCTTATTCACTGGTCCAGCAAGAGGAGAGTCGTCGTAGTGCTATGGTGCATGCCTCTGTTGAGGATCGGTCAGAGATGGTTGTTGGCTTTCCAAAAGTTTGATAGTTAATATTTTTAATGTGTTGAACATGTATGGAAACTTTTTTCTAATAAATATGTACAATTCTTTCTCTTAGAAATTCGAATTACTCTTTGAGAAAAAATTGAAACAATTCAAGGGCTTTGTTAGAAAAAGTCTATATACCGCTTATAATACATATGGTGCCTCTGAGACAAAATGATGTGAAGGCAGAAGCTATTATTGTCCCCAAGTCACGTGATACTTCGCCGTGTCAGCCTCAGGGTGGTGGTAAGGGTCCATTGGTTGATCGGGACCGGTTGAAGTGTGATTATTGTGGGAAAGATAAATATGATAAAGAACATTGTTGGAAGTTGCACGGTCGGCCTACTCGAGGACGTCGTGGTGGTGATGGGGTTTGTCCTCAAGCACATGTTTCTGAGACTACTGCTAGTGCCTCAAATGATGCTGGTTCTATTTCCCAGGATGAGCTTCACACTCTCAGACGTTTGATGGCTTGACTTGATGCCTTAGCTCTTTCCTCTTCTGCCTCTTCTAACCTTGCCTACATAGGTATTTCTGCTAGTGCACTTAGTACCTCTTCGCCGTCTCCTTGGATCATTGATTCCGATGCTACCGATCACATGATGGGTACTTCTAGTTTTTTCCATTCTTATTCACCTAGTTCTGGGTTGAGTGGCTGATGGCACTTCATCTTCTATCTCTGGCAAGGGTTTTGTTCATTCTCTTTACTTTCGCTTTCATCTGTTCTTCATGTTCCTAATTTTTCACTTACTTTCTATTAGTAGCCTTACTACTGCTCTCAATTGCTTTGTAATCTTTTTTCCAACTCATTGTGTCTTTCAGGAACTGGCTACGGGGAAAATGATTGGCAGTGGTAGAGCACAAAGTGGACTGTACTTTCTGGATGCCATTCCTGCATCAACTTTGTCTTCTCGGGCTCTTCAATGCACTTTTGGCTCCTCTCTTTGTTTTCTTCATCAGTGGCATCGCCGTTTGAGGCATCCTTCCTTTAGTATTTTGGAGAAACTTTTTCCTTCCTTAGTTCGAGATTGTCCTAGGAATAACTTTGTTTGTGGTGCTTGTAAGCTTGCTAAGCATAAACGTACTTGTTATCCTTCAATTAATAAAAGAAGTACTTTTCCTTTTATGCTTATTCATACCGATGTGTGGGGTCATTCCCCTGTGGTTTCTACTTGTTGTTATTGGTGGTTTGTCATGTTTATTGATTGTTTTTCCCGTGTGACTTGGATTTATTTACTTCGCACTAAAAATGAGGTTTTCTTGTGTTTCAAACTCTTTCATAAAATGGTATCCAATCTCTTCAATGCTACTATCAAAATTCTTCGGAGTGATAATGGGATTGAATATGTTGATGGAACTTTCATGGCGTACCTCCAGGAGCATGGCATTCTTTATCCGATTAGTTGTGTTGGCACTCCTTGAGGTTGCCCGCTCTCTCTTGTTTACCATGAACGTTCCTAAGTCTTTTTAGGGGGACACTGTTCTTACTGTGGCTTACCTTATTAACCGTATGCCCTCTAGTGTCCTCCACTTCCAAATTCCTCTTCAGCTTCTTCCTGTGACTTATCCCTTCTTCCCTTCCGCCTCGGGTGTTTGGTAGTGTCTGTTTTGTTCATCTTCAACCTCGTACTCATGGGAAGCTTGATCCTAAGGCTGTCCGGTGTGTCTTTCTTGGTTATTCTGCTACTCAAAAGGGCTACAAATGCTATGACCCTCACACTCATAAGTTGTATGATAGTATGGATGTCACTTTCCGTGAATCTGAGTTCTTTTTTTCTTGTCCTCTACTATGTTCTCAGGGGGAGAGTGGTATAGATGAGATTGCGGATGAGATGGCATCATATCAGCATGAGTTGTCTTTTTTCTTTCCTACTCAGCAGGCTGTTATTTGTGGTAAGGAGGGGGAGCCTAACAGTTCTATTCATGAGGAGTCGGATATTGGTGGTCATTTGGACAGAGTTGATCTTAAGACTTATTCACGGCTTCAGAAAGAGCAGGCTTCTCTTGTGCCACCAAGTCAATCATCATCTCTTATGCCAGTTCTACACC